TCCCTGCGGTGACCGGTACTGCATTGGTACTGGATGCCGCTGGAGTCGTTCTCCTGCTGAGTCGTTGTTGCTGATACTTAGGCTGTGGAGGTAGCACAGATTGGCTACGAACTGCGAGCCTGGCACTGCGTCGTGGCAGTGCCCCGGTGTCTTAGGCTGTGGAGGTTGCACAGAGTGGCTACGAACTGCGAGCCTGGCACTGCGTCATGGCAGTGCCCCGGTGTCCTGTTCCGTCGACATCAGCATGGGCTGACGTGGTACTTGGAAGTCTCGGTGTTCACAGGCACAGGGAGGGCAGGGAGGGTGGGAACAGGGGTAGAACAGAACAAACAACATATAGTCCCCTGCCCCAACGTGGACTGGACTCCAAATCAAAGAAAAGATGGTCTTTTCCCCCCGAACAATTTAATTTCGAAGATAATTATTAAATAATAAATAATAATGCAATCAGACTCGACTTATTCACACTTTTCATGCACGTGAACAGCAGCACACAACTGGCGACTTGCGCCCACACAGTACACAGAGATATGTCTTCCAGGTAAGTTCGCTTCCACTGGCCATGGAGACTGTGCGCCTCAAACACTCACTGTTCACACTCTGGATCACCCTGGATGTCCCACACGCGATACCCAGTACACACACACAGTACACACACTCTTCCCCTAAGCTACAGCTATGGCGGCTATGGCCGCTGCTACCCTACTGCAATGGCTACAGTATGTCACTCTCTCCCTCTTCGTCTTCGGGCCTTCTGCAGACCTCCTCGCACAAGCTGCTGAGGCAGCGCTTCCGCATGGCTTCTGCAGGAATGAATAATGGCTGGACGCAGCCTCTTGATTTATACTTCTGCGCTGCGTTGGTCTGCCCTGTTTCCCTTGGCCCCTGGTGCACACAGTCCCAGACGGTACTTGCTGGACAGGACCGGACTGCCTAACTGGGACTGTTGACTCAGCGAGGTGGCCTACCACCACTTGACCACTTGCCTCTGTTCAACGCAGGCTCACTCCGAAAGGCCACTTCTAGAAACCTCTAACTTGGCCTTTCGGTACTGTAGCAGCTACGACTTTGCCCCTTCAGGTAAGTAGCAGCTACGACCTTGACCCTTCAGACATCCTACAACTACGATTTCGGAACTGTCTAGACTTCTACCCTACAGGTCTACAGTTCGATTCCCTTCTACCCTGTGACCTATGAAAACCTACCTACCACTGGCGGTCCTGCAGGTCGCAGGTTCAAATCTACGGGTTGACACTGGTACTGTACACAGGTAAGACGGGGAACTAGGGATCGAGCCCTGGGATCTGCATTCGCTACTGCGAACTGGTGAATACCGTTTAAATAAGAATAAAGAATGCTTTAAAATACGAAATTTAAATTGTCGGCAGATCAGGTGTCCGCTGAGATCACCTATGGTCCGGGAGTTCACTGTTGTTAGTGAACTTCCCGGATAAACGATTTCGGACAGTCTGCGAACTGAAAAAAAAAACTTGGATAATTCCTAAAAGGAAAAAAACACTCGAATTTTTGAAAAAACGTGAAATTTTGGGAATTTCAACCTAAAATAGTCCGATTTTCAGAAGGCCAAAGTCCGCATTTGGAATTTCAACAATTTTTAAGGGGGGGGTGGGGGAAATTCGCGAAAATTTTGGACCTCAACCCTATTTTTTTGCGATTTCGCGGAATTTCCGGTTTACGGTTCCAGAAAACGCGAATTTTCCCCCTATGTGGAAAACCGATAAACTTTCATCGCAATCCTAATTCAATACCGAATTAAAACAGAATACCGAATAAAAAAAATATAGAATTTGCAACCTGAATTTTCGATAGTAATGCAGAACTAATTCGGAAAAGACAATGCTAATTAAGCAATCAATTCCCTAATCAGAATTACCTTGTGATTAGATCCACTTGATTGGTCTGCTCCGATACCAAACTGTTGCATACTAGTGAATACTTCACCAAGTATGGGCAGAACCAAAGATCAACCAATATNATTAGATCCACTTGATTGGTCTGCTCCGATACCAAACTGTTGCATACTAGTGAATACTTCACCAAGTATGGGCAGAACCAAAGATCAACCAATATAGGATGAGCATGTATACAGCGAAAGTCTGAGAGATGGACTGACTCACATAGACTGAACTCACCCAAACATCAAAAAAACACAAGCGATTGTGAGATGGAGGGGGTCTGAAGCCATACATAGATGATGCTTCAGGCCCCGTACAATCATACACAGATGAATGGTGGGAGGAGAGACGATGGAGGTGGGAGGTATGGACAGCGCCGGATGTCACCGATATAGAATCCAGAAAGGTCGCCGATATGGTAGCCCAAAATGTCACCGAACGAAATCAGAATGTTGTGGACACAAGTCACCAATGTTGGAGGTACAAAATCCTAATGTAACCGATGTCCGATCTGTGATGCCGCTTCGTATCAATCCCAACTATCTCCAATGTCTCGAGTCCTGTAAGTATCACAGTCTCCTACCACCGAAGTTCAATCACTGATCTCTGTCCAACTCGTATCAATAGTCTCCAGTCTGAAGAAGAAGAAGAAGAGAGGGGCAGAGCATTGGCGGAGATGGCGAGTAGCTCTAGGCCCTACCTGATGGTACAAGGGGGCACCTTGGCTGCGGCAGGAGACGGCTGTGCTGCTGGGAGCTATGACGCTCGTGGCTGCTGTCAGGTAAGTCTCCCTCCTCGCTCTCTCCTCTCCCTACAGCCAGCGCTACACCTAGCGCTGCTGTCTAGCGCTGTGCTGAACCGAAATAGCGCAGTGGGCGTTCCGCAATGCTGCTGGCCTCCGAAGTCCTCGAAATGGCCGTTGGCTGGGCCCAAGTACTGGCCGGCGGCCAGTTCGGCCTCTGCCTCCCAACGTGGCCTCCGATCTGATCCGTCGGATCTATTGTCCAATCCGTGGGTCAGGTCGGACCGGTTTTCGGGAAGCAGGCTGCCTAAACGGTGACCTGGTCCAAACGAAAACGTTTGGCCATTTCCTGCCCAGGGCCTTCGGCTGCAGGGCCTGGTCTAGAACCGGTTGCGTAAGGGCAAAGGGGCGGCCTAAAAAGGTCCGGCCTTTGGGCCGGCGTGGCCTGGATTATCGCGTCCAGGCCCTCAGAACCTCAGCCTAGTCGTCGGGCCTGAAAGGGCCCGTGTGGAATGCAGTATGTAACACAAATGATTGAACAGGCTGATAAACATCGCCGACCTTCACAGTTCCAAGAAGGGGATTTTGTCTGTTGAAAGGACTATGTTGTTGAAAGGACTATGCCTGTTGAAAGGACTATGTAACACAACTTTCCGAATAGACCATCTATGTTTCCATCCTCTACGAATGGAGGCTATGATGTTGAAAGGATATTGGAACATGGCTATTTTTGTACTGGTTGCAGAGGACGACCTCAGAAGCAGTACAAGGTAAAGTTCAAGTCCCAACCTCCATCTGAAGCCATGGTTTAGTAGGAAAGAACACTTACCTACTATTCCTGACATTGTTGCTGCAGATGAACGTGGGTTAAGTGAGAATTAATGTATTTTCTGCGATGGAACTCGAAAACGGGGCCGGCAGGAACGCAATAACCCATGCCATATGTCTCGTGGAATATCTGAGGGCTTGCTAGGCCGCCCTCAGCCCAGGCCAAAATGGGGACTCAGGGCCTGGATGTGTGACAGTTGACTTCAGTCAACTGTCGAAATAGCAACAGTCAGAGTCCAAAGGTACCCAGCCCAGGCCGCCGGTCAGGCACACACGCTTGTTTGTAGGCAGGTACCCAGACAGCATCAGGTCCAAGGCGAAGTCTGCAACTGTACACAATCGAGGCCCTCGGCTGTGAATCAATCTGGACGACCATGGGGAAGGGAACCGAGGCCAGACAGCCTCCTCAAATGCTACTTAAAGGCTGGCCTCGAGGTGGTCAACATTCAGTCTTGCTATGCTGCTTGGATGCTGGCTTGACTTCGACCAGATGCTGGCATTGACGGTGGCACGACGCTGGCGAGATGCTGGTTTGACGCTGGCTGTGCGCAGGCACTGTGGAGCACGACGCGGACTGTGACGGCATGCTGGCGCATTCTGCATTGTATGCCAAGCATTGCTGATGTGGCACTGCCACCTGTCTTCACAGCTGATGTGGTGCAGGCCACTCGTCTACATTGCTGACGAGGCACTTCCATCTGTCTACATTGCATGCTGATGTGGCGCTGCCGCTGCCACTGGTCTACATTGCATGCTGATGTGGCGCTGCCTCTGGTCTACATTGCATGCTGATGTGGCGCTGCTTCTGGTGTACATTGCCTGATGATGTAGCGCTGCCACCTGTAATGTGGCGCATGCCACCTGTCTCTACTGCTTATGTGGCATTGGCCGTGCTGTCTACATGAGGTGACTGGTTGCGTTGAGGAGGAAGATTGGGATCTGTGGATGATTGGAAACGGGATACTTACCTCAGGCTGACGTCGGTATTGCAAGGTGCTGGTTGTCTTCATTGTCTCCTTCAGAGAGTAGTGCCACGTGTCAGACTTGTTACTGTTATTGATTGTTGACGTGGAGGGCGAAGAAGCCGGGAGAGGAAGTGGGAGTGGTTGGGTTGCTATTGTGTGATCTTTGATTACTCCTTCCACCTTCTCCCTTGTGTATACCTCCCTCCACTCTCTTCGTCTATTGGTAACGAAGATACTGTTGCAGATATCATTTTCACGTTAACTGGAGACTTTGTACAGATCTGAGAGTACTGGAAGACGTCTGATGAGTATCTTCATGACTGGGTTCATTACATGAATCACCTAATAAAATTTGTCATCTAATCCCTACGATATTGAAGTCAAATGCCGAGGAACGTACCTTTCTAGGCCTTTTGGCCAAGATAAAATGTGGTATCTGTTCTGACCAGTTTAATATCTGACCCGTGGTCCATCGGGAAAAAAAAAGGGAAACGAAAAAATGCCCGAGTAACGAAGTGACTTCCTTTTGGAATGGTTGGCTGTGTGCAGTTGAATGATCCATCAGCTCTTCATGGAATCAACCCTTTCTCCGATATGACTGAGGACGAGTTTGAGCACCGATTTCTTGGGTTGCACACTCCACAACATGTGTGGAAAATGCGAAGTGCGCCAACCATCCCCTATTTGCCAACTGATGACCTTCCGGAGGACTTTGACTGGCGCATGAAAGGAGCTGTAACACCAGTCAAGAATCAGGTGAGGAAACCCTCGAGCATCTTTCTGTTTTCTGTACATCTTCTGCCCTTGACAGCTCGCTCCTGACCTCCCTGCCCTTGACTCGTTGGTCTCACACTGTCTGGCTGATCAATAGGGGTTTCGTATGCCAGTATGTGGTTGCAGAATTCATTGCGCTGAGTTTGGTGGGTGAAGAGCAGCAGGTGATTAACTTGACTTGGTCTTCACAAGTGGTTAATGGTGAAAGTGCACATTTGGATTGCTGTTTTATAGTCTTTTTGTTTTTTTTTCCATTTTTTCTTGTTGCAATCTGGGTGAGGACGTCGCCCGACCAGGCTCGGCCTGGCCGGTTGGGCCCGGGGGGGCCGCCCGGGTAAACCGGGCGGGCCAAAAAACCGGCCAGAATCTTTTTTTTTTTTTTCGAAAACAGGGTCATTCCGCGCCCGACAAGAGGACCCCGAATCCGCAATAAAATTTCGGTTTTGGGGGGTGGGTGGGGGGTGCTGGGGTTGGGGGGTGTCTGGGGGTTGGGGGCTCTGCATGCATGTTGCCTACTGTATGCTGAATGTATGTCATCTGATATGTACTGGGTTGGGGGCTCTGCATGTTTGTTGCGTGCTGCTAAGATGTCTGCTGCTTGCATGTTATCAACCCTTTCATTCTGAAGAAGAACAAGACTGACAAAAAACGAAGAAGACTGATGTGAAGAAGAAGACGACGAAGAAGAAGAAGACTGATGAGGAGAAGAAGAAGAAGAAGAAGAAGAAGAAGAAGAAGAAGAAGACTTGCAGACTGACAACTTGCAGGAAATCTACGAGTTCTTCAGCAGCATATCAGGTGCGTACGGCCAATATCGATCCACATACGAACACATCTCTGAGATGGGAAGGAGGGATGGCGAGATGGGATGATGGAGGATGGTGAGATGGGGTGGAGGGAGGGAGGGATGGATGATGGAGGATGGAGAATGGCGAGATGGGATGGATGGATGGATGGATGATGGAGGATGGAGGATGGCGAGATGGGATGGAGGGATGGGAGGATGGAGAAAGGAAGGGAGGGAGTAGGAAAGGAGGGGAAGAAGAAGAGGAGAGAAGAAGACCTAGCGAATGGAGCAGAAGAAGAAGAAGAAGAAGAGGGTGAGGAGGGGAAGAAGAAGAAGATGAGAGGACGACGAGGAGAGAAGAAGGAGAAGACGAAGAAGACGAGCGGAGGAGGGGGAGGAGGACGGCCTTCGTTTTTTTTTTTTTTTTTTAATCTGTCGTGTATCACGTGACCTACCGAATGTCGACGAACTATAAGAAGAAGACGAACGGAGGAGGGGGAGGAGGACGGCCTTCGTTTTTTTTTTTTTTAATCTGTCGTGTATCACGTGACCTACCGAATGTCGACGAACTAGAAGAAGAAGAAGGAGAAGGGGAAGAAGGAGAAGAAGAAGAGGAGGAGGAGAAAGAAAACGAGTTGGGGAGGAGGGGAAGACGAAGAACAAGAAAGGTTGTGGAGGTAGATGAAAACGCGAGGGGGACAAGGGGAAGACTAAGAAGACGAGAGGAGGAGGAGGAGAAGAAGAAGAATAAAAAGATGAGCCGAGAAGTTTAGGTGGACGGCCTGTCGTGTCTCACATTACCCACCGAATGATGATGATGAAGAAGAAGAAGAAGAAGAAGAAGAAGAAGAAGAAGAAGTAGTATGGCTGCGGTAGGGTATGGCGGTAGAGTATGGTGGCGGTAGGGTATGGCGGCGGCGGTAGGGTATGAAGAAAGGCAGGGAGGGAGTAGGGAAGGACAGGAAGAAGGAGAAGAAGAAGAAGAAGAAGAGGAGGAGGAGAAAGAAAACGAGTGGGGGAGAAGGGGAAGACGGCGAAGAAGGAGAAAGGTTTGAGGAAGATGAAAATGCGAGGGGGACGAGGGGAAGACGAAGAAGACGAGAGGAGGAGACGGAGGAGAGAAGAAGAAGAAGAAGAAGAAGAAGAAGAAGAAGAACTTCGTCGGGGCCTTCGTCGTTACCTGGGCCTTGGTCGTTACCTGCAACAGTTACCCTAGCAGCAGGGCCTTCGTCTGCCCGTCCAACACAACCCTAAACGATTACGACAGGAAGAAGAAGAAGAAGAAGAAGGACTGGCCGACGTGCGAAGTAAAAAAAAAAACAAAAAAAAAAACAAAGTAGTTCTGTACGGCATGAAAGAACCTTTGCGATCCGACAGGGCCGCCACCGTCGATTCGCGGATCTCAGCAACGGTGGGATAGAGCCGAAGGAACCGCCAGCCCCAAGTCGTTCCCCGTTACGCCCAAGGCCAACTGTCCCGCACCATTCCCAACACTGGATGCGGGTTCTCGCGGGAGCGTGACACTATTCACTTATAGATAGTAAGGGAAATAAATAAAAGAGAGGTCTGACTTAACGAATGGGTCCAGTCAGATCAGACTGGAAATCCCCTCTTGTCTAACCCAACATGGAACATGTATCACAAATAAGTCAAACCATGCAGACTTTGAGGGGTGCAGACGGTCGTCGAGCCAGACGCGGAGCAGTGTGTTAGAACATGCAGCAAGACCAGTCAAGATCTCCTTGAAATGAATGTCCCTACTAGTCGTGTGTCCCCCAGTTTCAGCACAGCGAAGAAATGCGACTGACAGCAACAGATTTGGGGCCGAAGGGTCCTATCCCATAGGGCCTGGTCCCACTGAGTCCTGAAGGGTCCCCAGCAGGTTGTGGACCAGGACCAATCAGAAGGTTCGTCCTGAAAAGAGAAAGGCTAATTTCAGCAACAACCTACTCCTGCAACCGTTGAGGAGTGAAAAGACAATGCTCTGTAGAAAGATATGTCATTTAGAACAAGATACATCATCCATCCATCCATCAGGTGAGAAAGCAATCCAAACACACACAACCAAGACCGCCGAGAAGAGGACGAGCCCAACACACCCCAACAGGCCATGAAGCACCAAGCAACCTCCTGTGGGCATACCCAAGTCACACGACACTTGCCTGTGATGCCCGGCCTCCAAAGATGAAATAACGACTCACCCCCTCTCGCATAGGTCCTGCTGACCCCTAGCTACCACTACACTAAGCGTCCTGGCATGACTAAGCGCCTCACTGCACTAGTCTTGAATCCTGAAAAATCAAGAGTTCATCACCGCTGCATTAACTGTTGACGCTTTGTCCTGAATTTCCATTCAAGAGGTGTCAGATTCACTCTCGAAAATGTCGAGAGTGAGTAACTGCTGCACTAACTGTGGAAAAGTACTCTCATCCGGCGCTTCAAGAGGTGTCAGAAACGGCCCTTCAGACTGAAGGTTCCACAGTTCCCGCCTGCAGGAGTGTTTTTTTCAAACAAGGCCAACCGGACCCTTCGTGCGGTTTGCAAAGTCGAGAGTTGGCCTCCAGTCTCGGTGGACAAAATCGTCGCTGCCCTGTCGTGTAGTGTCTTTTCAGTTTTGTGAACTTCTGTCAGACGGTCAAGAATGCTTACTAGAGTCGAGAGTCCGGAGTAAGTGCAGCGACGGCAACACTTGAGGCCGATCCGGGAGTCTGACAGCGCTAGATGCACTCTTGAATACTTTCATGTGTCTGGCATAGTGCAGCGAGGCCCTAAGAGGGCTCTCCTACACCCATGTTACAACGCCGGATCCTCTGTCGATGTTGAAGACCAAAGTAGCAACTTGCAACTCTTCAATGCGGATATGGCAGCCTCCAGGCAAGTCTCCCTCTTGAGGGGAAGCCCAAAACTCACTCGATGTCTTCTTGAAGTCCAGATTCCAGGTGCGAGTACCTCTCACTCTCTACTCCCTCTCGCTACTTCAATCGGCCTCCTTCGTGCCTCGCCACCCCATGCAATCACTCAAGCAACCTGGTCAGGTCTGATGTCGACCCTACATGACCTAACCAGGTGGGGGCAACATCCACATACCTTGCTGTCCCTCTTAACCCTAACTTCCAGCCCTAATCCGAGATTAGGTTAGCCCTAACCTAATTCGGAATTAGGGTTAGGGTAGCTCAACACCTCTCGCCAGCTAGTAAGTCCGCTCCAATACCAAATGTTACGATCCTGGTCATTTCCAAGCTGCAAATTCAAAAGGAAATACGATGCCACCCAATTGCGAAAAAAATGAAGGCACTTGCAAAGAGATAGAGACCAAAGAAGAGAGAAAGAAGAAGAAGAAGAAGAAGAAGAAGAAGAAGATGTACACCACCAAGACCAATGGTAAATCCCCCTTCTCTCTCCACCTTCCTCCTCCTCCTCCTTGACTTCGCCAATCTTATTCTTCTTCCAAGTAATAATAAAAACAATGAGTGGATGAACCAGAATCAATATCCGAAGTTCCCTGTTACTGCTAGCACAGCAACAGGTCCACCATAGCCATGGCTTCCCTCCTCCTTCCTCCTCTTGCATGCCAAGGCTATGGCGGACTACTAAGGGCTCTGCCCTCTTGTGCAAAGGACAACACAAAGCAGCTATGTCGCTGCTCATCAGGCTGCCATGCCTGACTCTGCCTCGAGCTTCCTTGGTGCAGCACCACCCCAACTGGGCCCTTTCAGATGCAGCGCCTATCAAGGTGAGGAAGATGGTGTCCACCATAGCCAGGTAGGTACCTCACCACTCTCCTCCTTCGCCCCGATCTTCCTCCTCAGGCTGGGCTGCTCGCCATAGCCAGGCTGCGCGATCAGTTGCACTCCTTCCTCCAGACAGCGCTTCAAGTCCAGTACTTGGCTCAAGCAGTATGCCTCCAATCCTTGCACACCGCAAATGAGGAGTTACTTGCTCCTCCAGAAGATATAGCGGCCTACTTGCCTCTTCGGTGGTGACTTCCTAGGCCGCGCGGCCTCCCAACAACCGATACCTCCTCCCTTTCGGAGGGAAACATCATTGCAGGCTCTGATATCCTCCGTACAGGCCCTGGACTCAGGCTACTTGGACTGGTACCGGCCTACCTCTAGCCTACCGCTACTGGGCCACTAAAAATGCCGACTCTTTGTCTTCTTCTGCTCGGCCTCGAGTATCTGACACTTCTGCCACTACTTGAGTGGTACCCGCCTACCTGCCACTTGAGTGTTTTTCTCACTGCTGTAAGTGTCGCGGGCCTCCCCCCGCTACTTGAGTGTTTTTCCCACTGCAACCCTCGAAGTCACGGCCATGGGTAAGTACCGGCCCTGTGGGGCCTCCAAACCAACAAGTACCCTTGCGGGTCACACACAGACTCAGACCGTCAAGCACTCAGACAGGCATGCAGACCAGCAGGCACGCACACACACAGACTTAGATATCACAGCAGAATGCGGGAATCTCAGCAAGGCATATCCCAGAAATCAGCAGTGTTCTCAGTCTGCGTTTCGGCGGGTCATTACAGATGTTGAATTTCAATAGTCAACCTCTTTGCGCAGTGGTGTTGCTCTTTCAGGTTTGGCAATCTATTCTGCAAACTCCTAATAGTGAACTGCGATACGCTGCATGCAACTAATGTGATAAAAGCCTCAAACATATGCTTCTATCTTCTATTCTATTGCAACAGGGCTTCTGTGGAGCATGCTGGGCGTTCTGCACGGCAGGTGCTGTTGAGGGTGCACATTTCATTGCAACAGGCAATCTGTCCAGTCTCAGTGTGCAGCAAATGCTGGACTGTGATCATCTGGTAAATTTTGCATCATTGAACCTCCTCCTGTGTTTTCTGTTTATTTCTCCCCCACCGTATCAAAGTCGCGGAGGTATGAGGAAATGCTGTGAGCAGAGCTTGAGCCTGGAGAAACTCTACCCCCCAAGCACAGTTGAAATGCTACGTGCTAAGCTGTGGGATTGAGACCAGAGTGAGAGTGGGATGAGGGGATTGACATCATATAAGCTGTGGGGGGTTAGACCAGGAGAGCATGATGCAAAACAAAATGCTGGGTAAGTGGGCATGAGAAAGAAAAATGGAAAGCTGCTTTATGCATTAAGAAAGTACGAAGATTCCGACGCCTGGCCGGTCTGGACCGGCTGGTCACCCGGGCGTCATGCCCGGGCAGGTGTGACGACCAAGTCACCCAGTTGTGTAAAAAAAATAGCCTAATTTTTTGTTTTTTTTTTGGGCCTGGGGGTTGCTATGGGCTTGGGGAGAAGATGCAGAATCCAGGGTCATTTTGATTGTTGGGATGTCCGGATTTTTTTTGGGG